CAGGTCTTCTGCAAGAACAGTCAGTGTTCTTAACTGCTGAGCCATCTCTCCAGCTCCGGATTTGCTCCCTTATAAAAGTGAACAGACAGTGTTTCTCACTGGAATTCCTGGGAGGACTGACTGTGATAATGTGCCCACTAGAGTACCCTAGTATCACTGGCATGCAGGAAGTGCTATTTCTTTCCCTAATCTGTCTTACATTTCCAAAGCGACTTGCGAGGAATGTAGGTAAACCAATACAGATAAGCATCTCTGGAGCACTTGCATTTCTTTGGCAGTAGAATGAGATACCTTAAATGCATTTTTGAACTTGCAGTTTCCATGGACAAGATTTGATAGTCATTTTATCCTGAGAACTTTATCCTTGATGCTCTCACATGCCACAGTTGCTTATCTCCCATTTCCCAACGCAATTGCATTAGACACTTCTGCATTGACTAGTCTTGGAGAAAGCCATAAAACATTCATCCTCTGCAATTCTGAAAGCATAAAATTATGAGGCTGCAGGACTTCTAGGGCAAAGAAGGATGCTTTAGCTGTATGGATGTTGATTTGCCGCAGTCCTCCCTCAGGATGTGAGTTCTTGGTTGTTTTAGGACTTCCAGTGTCCTCATTGGAGCTAGTGTGGTCATCCAGCAGCTGCTTTTCCTGATAAGACACACTCTGAATGGAAGGCATTTCATGGGAGAAGGTTTCTTGTTGGATGAGGTGCCTACCAGAGAGGACACGAATGTTCTCATTTTAAATGCCTGGATATAACAAGGATTTATTCTGCCCACCCTAGAAAGCATTTCTGTGGAAAGGCTGGTCTAAACCCCTCAGAGTGAGCAGGTTACTCCAATGCTTGAACCCTGACTTCTTGACTCACTTACTCCAGTGCTGCCTAAGACTAGTTACTTAATTTCTTAGAATTCTTTTGACTTTGAAGTTGGCACCTTCTGTTCATGGCAGTCTGTCTGTAAAGTTCCATCATTTCCATCTGCCTGACATAGGCTAGGTCCAGACTGTGCTGGAGTATGGGGCAAGCTCTCTTCTTCTCCTGCTGTGTCTCCGCATCTCTGATTGGTCCAGGGACCCTCTATGTTGGTGAACAGGAGCTCTCTCATTGGTTTTCACTTTATGACCTCTTAGAGATTTTGATCCTTTTCAAATGGAGCCTCAAGTACTTTACTCAGAATCTGGCCACAAGCAGTGTTTGATGAATATCATTTGGCACTTTTCTTGAGTACTAATTGTACAGATTGCTTGCTGGGGAGTTTATATATATTATCTGGGAGTCAATATATATTATTGAACTTCAAGGACTCTTCCCATGCCAAAGAAGTAGCCATTCTTTTAAAACAATATTTTATTATTTTAATTTTTGTACGAGTGTATTGCCTGCATGTATGTGAGTGCACCCGTGTTGTGCAATGCCGTGGAAGTCAGAAGAGGGCTTCTGATTCCCCTGGAACTGGAGTTAAGGACGGTTTGTAGCTGCCATGTGGGTGCTGGGAGTTGAACCTGGGTCGTCTGCAAGAGCAGTCAGTGCTCTTAACAGGTGAGCCATCTCTCCAGCCCAGAAAAGTAGCCATTCTTTCAGAAATATTTATTTTTATTTTATTTATTGTTTTTATATTTTATGTGTTTGAATGTATTGCCTGCATATATGTAAATACACCAGTGTTGTGCCACCATGTGGGTACCGGGAATAGAACCTGGGCTCTCTGCAAGAGTAGCCAGTGCTCTTAACTGCTGAGCCCCCATTATTTATTTATTTTTATTTTATGTGCATGAGTGGTTTACCTATATGCACTTAGATGCACACACATGCATAAAATGCTTGTAGAGGCCAGAAGAGGGTGTTGGATTTCCTAGAACTGGAGCTAGGACAGTTGTAAGCTGCCATGTGAGTTCTGGGAATGGAACCCAGGCCCTTTTGGAAGAGCAGAAAGTATTAACTGCTGAGCTGTCTCTCCAGCCCCTGGGTAGCATTCTTACTGCCCCATTTACAAACGGTAAAGTTCTTACACCTCTCTAGTGGCAAAAATGGAACTTGAACCTTGATCTCTCACACTTCAGAGCACTATTCTCTGAATTAGAACTCTCTTTGGACACAGTGGGCCTATAGAGTATGTAGTAGCTCAAGATAAACTCCTCTGGAATAGGGGAAATCTACTCAAATGGCTTGGTGAGAGGGTTTCTTCATGACAGTCAGTTCTTGCCTTCTGACACAGTGCCACTACCTCTTTCCTTCCTCATGGATTTGTGACCTTCCTGACACGCAGATAATATCTATGACAAGGCCTTGGGGCTGGACTGTTGGTCTCTGGACAGCTGTGCTTCTTGGTCCAGATCCTACCATGCTTTGGTCATGGACAGTTGAATTTAAGATCTGGACAGCTGCATGACAGAACTGGATCCCACCCAGGCTGTGACATGGTGACCAAAGCTGCTGTTCCATGGATAAGGCCAGAGGTAGCGATCATAAACCACCCCCTCTGGAATCAAATGTGGGATAATTGCATGATCCTTGGCCATTTTCCAAAGCTGTAGCATTTGCCCTTCTCTTCTGCCAATGCTGCCATCATTCATTGATTCATTCATTCATTCATTTAATGAATTTATTGACTGTCTACTGTATACCAGACACAGTGACAGGTCCTGAGGGCATATGGCGAATGACAGACATGTGTGTTCTTTGTATTCTTGAAGTTTATAGCTAGGATGACATAACATACCGCTTTTGTGGCTTTAGAGTAATTGTTAATGCTTCCCTCCTTTTTCTAAAGTGCCCTGGCTTTAAACTTGTACATATTAGGCTTGTGGATAAAGAGAGAGGCAAGCCATATGAATATAATCACAAAAATACTTGTAAATAAAACAAAATTTCAAAGAAGAGGAAACTAAGGTCCCCCAGGACACCTCTTGCCTCTGTTTTCCAAGTGCTGGGACTGTAAGTATGTGCTACTATGCCTAGCCAGAAAATCCTTTCCTTAAATTTTCATATTTTTATTGTACTGGGGATTGAACATGGGGCCTTGCACATACTAGGCAGGCATCTTCTCAGTAAGCTATGCCCACTTTCAGAAAATTCTTTTGTTTCTAAGAAATGCAAGTCCTTCCTTTTTGGTCTGGTTGTCAATAGTGCTTCTCTCAAATGTTGTTCCTGTTTTGTTTGTTCATAAACAAACTCCCTTGGCCTCTGTAGCCCCCAGAGTTTCACATGCCTAGGAATGGAAAGATTTTAAAGAAAGCATGGCCCCTGAGATGTTCGCACAGCAGGCCATGGAAATCCTGTGACTCCAGAGTCCCAAGCCAGTTACATCTACTCTTTCCCTGCCTTGGCCTGCCCCACATCCTAGCAGCCTTTTGTCCAGGAAATTTAGACAGCAGCCCAGTCAGCAGGCCACCTCTGATGGTGCAAGTTGGGTTATTAGTGCCAGGGACATAGCTTTTAGCAGTGAAGTGACTCTTTCTGGCTTTTGACTTGTAGTCAGATGTGTTACCCTTCAGCCAGTGAATCAGTCATGCAGAAGATTGCTCATGTATGCAAGATCAGGCCTGTGTCTCCCAGCTTGCTTGTGCAAGTCTCCACTTCATTATTATTATTGCTTTCCCCCTCAGGGTTGCTGATTCTGTCACTGTTCTATGAAGAGAATCTAAAGCTTTTAAGGCAGACATTAAAGAGCTAATGGAAATTGGCATGCCCCCTAGAAAACAAATTAGCAAATAAGGATTCAATGTTCCAAAAACAACCAAACTCCCAGAAAACTAAAACTAAAACCCAGAATTGAATGTGGCTGTGTTCACATTTCTGTACAATTGTGCATGTGTTGGCTCTTGTTTAAAGTGTTGCTGTGTACATAATAGAATTACAAATTTTTGATGATGTGTGGCTTGTACAACTATTATAATTTACAATCAAAGCTGTTCATTTAGATAAGTAATATTAACTGAATACTTGGCTCTGCTCCCTGCTAATGACGAAGCAGGTGCCATGTTAAACTTTAGCAATTGTAAGAAAGTAGGGAAAAAATATGTTGTAAACTCTTATCCTCAAAGAGCTTGAAGCAAGGCATTGTATCTCTAGCTCACAGAGGCAGAGTACTTACTGTCTATTGCTTTGTGTAGAGTAACTCATCTACTCTTGGTAAGGATCCTCAGATCAGGGTATGGAAGCAAGGTACAGAGGAATCAAGTAGCTTGCCCAATCTTAGGTCAGAGGTAGAACTGAGATACAGACAAGGCTCTGTGGCTGAGACTTTGCTTTTTAACCATGATGCTCTACCCTGGTGTTGAGAAGACAAACTTGGCTTTGATGGAGTCTCGTATGATTGGGTCTAGAGGGCTAGGAAGCACCCAGTCTCCCATTCATGGAAAGCCTTCAACTCAGTCTACAGGATTCCTGAGATAGGGTCCTGAACCCATGAACAGAGTGCTGCAGTGGTGACTGCCTGCTAGCTGGCCTCTGCAGGGATATGACTTTGTATCTTAATGTGAGGCCTTAGGGCTAGGTCCACGTGTTCTATGTAAAAAATCAAAGTACAAGAATTACCGTTAAGAATAGCTTGTCAAGACTATACTGCGAGCATTCATTTTCCCTTTCTCGATGGAAATGGAAAGAAGAATAAAAAAGCTTATGGGTTCAGGCTGACTACTTAGGAGCAAGTGAAGATTTACCTTAGGCTCTTTTAAAATGGGGCTCAGATATGCTAACTCCGACTTTTCTGTAGTATCTTACAGAGCGAAAGAACAGATAAGGTTTGAAAAATGTTTACCAGCTCAACAGAAGGTTGTTTGTAGACCGGAGGAGAGGGCTGGGGTTAAAAGAGGACTTTAACCAGCTTTGGCTTTGCTACTTGCTAACGATTGTAACCCTGATCAGTTACTTCTGTTGTCTCGTGTCTAATTTCATTGAGAATGGTTTGACCTATTATCCAGGGTTTATATGAAGACTAAATGAGTCTTGCACATTTCAAATACTGGTTACTGTGATTATTATTATTATTTTTTTAATGTTCTTCATAATGCTTTTATTTTGACACATCAGGGGAAAAAAACTTTCAGGTTCACAGGAAAAAATAAGACACATCACAGGGAAGCTAAACTAATCAGCGAACACTGACATCTGCCTGTCGGCTAATGTTGAAGCTGAAATTCCGGGAGTTTGACGTGCTACAGGGCTAAAAGGACAGATTAGTATTCTTCTTCCTCACCGTCTCCTTCAACAGAATCCACACCAACCTCCTCATAATCCTTCTCCAGGGCAGCCATGTCCTCACGGGCCTCAGAGAACTCCCCTTCCTCCATGCCCTCACCCACATACCAGTGCACAAAGGCACGCTTGGCATACATCAGATCAAACTTGTGGTCGAGACGGGCCCAGGCCTCAGCAATGGCTGTGGTGTTGCTCAGCATGCACACAGCTCTCTGAACTGGAGCCAGATCCCCTCCTGGCATCACCATGGGCGGCTGGTGGTTGATGCCCACCTTGAAACCAGTTGGGCACCAATCAACAAACTGAACAGAAGTCCTCGACTTCATGGATGCAATTGCTACATTCACATCCTTAGGGACCACATCTCCTCTATAGAGTAGACAGCAAGCCATGTACTTTCCAAGCCGAGGATCACACCTGACCAACTGGTTGGAGAACTCAAAACAAGCCGCAGTGATATCAGGCACTGAGAGGTGCTCATGGTAGGCTTTGTCAGCGGAGATGATGGGGGCCAGTGTCGTGATGGGAAAATGTACTCTTGGATAAGGCACTAGGTTGGTCTGGAATTCAATTAGGCCCACATTCAAGGGCCCTTCAAAGCGGAGGGATGCAGTGAGGCAAGATAACACTTGCGCTGTCAGCCTATTGATGCTGGCATAGGTAGGACATTCAATGCCAAGTTTACGATGACAGATGTTATAGAGGGCCTCATTGTCTACCATGAAGGTACAGTCTGAGTGCTCTATGGTGGAATGAGTGGTGAGGACGGCATTGTAAGGTTCTACCACAGCAGTGGAGATTCTAGGAGAAGGATACACAGAGAACTCCAACTTAGTCTTCCTGCAATACTCTGCTGAGAGCTGCTCCATTAGGAGAGATGTAAATCCTGATCCGGTGCCTCCTCCAAAGCTTCGGAAAACCAAAAACCCCTGAAGTTCATTGCACTGTTCTGCCTGTGAAAAGAAAACAAAATGAACAGAAGATCCAGAAAGTGGGATGAGGAGATGGCTCAGTCAGAAAAGTGCTTCCTTTGTCAGCATGTGGACATGGTTCCAGGTCTACAAACACTGCCCTGGGCACATGCTTGCCAGCGCCCGTCTCACTGAAGAAGGTGTTGAAGGAGTCGTCTCCTCCCCCAATGGTCTTGTCACTTGGCATCTGGCCATCAGGCTGGATGCCATGTTCCAGGCAGTAGAGCTCCCAGCAGGCATTGCCGATCTGAACACCAGTCTGGCCAACGTGGATGGAGATGCACTCCCGCATATTCGGTCCTTAAAGAGGTCGGCGGAAACGGAGGAAACGAAGAGACGGCGACAGAGCTCTCCCACCCAAAGACCGCCAAGGAGTCCGAAGGAGAAGTCTACTGTGATTATTTTTTTAAAAAAATTTATTTAATAACCGCATGATTAGAAGAAGCATTCCTTTACAGCTTTAACATATTCAATAACAATTTCCAGAGTAAAGATACATCTCTTTCAAAAGTGGCTGTAAATTTTTAGGTTCACAGTTGAATTAATACAGTTATACAATATTGAACTGAGTATAAACCCTGTAAGACATAAAATTGAATGAGTTTTAAAATTTTTTTTTGGTCTTTTTGAGGCAGTGTCTCCTGGAACTCACTATGTAGACCAGGCTGGCCTCGAACTCAAAAAGATCTACCTGCCTCTGCCTCCCAAGTGCTGGGATTAAAGGCATATGCCACCACGCCTGGTGAGTTTTTAAATTTTAAAGATGATCTCCATTTCACTTTAAAATATACTGTTTCCAACAGAAAGACTCATTTTTAATGCTACTAACACTTAGATGTTTGCACATGCATCTTTAATCTCTGTGTATCTGATTATTACTAGTCATAGTCAGTTACACTCGGATCCTTGGCACCTCAGTATGGATATAAAGTCATCAGGTAGATTTCAGTGGTAATGTTTATCTACTGTAATTACTTTTAAAGGGTGTTCTCAAACTTTCTTCAGAATGTCTCTGTCCCACCTTCCTTGTATACACCTTTATCAAACTGTGCTTATCAGAATCATGTTGTTAGCAGGTACAGATTCATTCTCTGTGGTGACATAAGAAATATGAATTGGGGATTAGAGTTGGATGCTAAAGAGCAGTAAGGAGTCAAGTAAACAGCTACAACGAAACACAGGAATGCCCTTTCTAGCACATTTTAAATGATCTGCTAAGTTCAGGCTCTCTTTTATGAAGGGACAATAGAACAGTTATCTTTCCCTCATCTCACACTGCTGCTTTTGTAGCTTAGTAAATGCTTTTATTATTTATTTTGTTATTATTTTAATTACAGTTATTTTGTGTGTGTGGGGGGGCGCATACATGGCACTGTGTGCATGTGGTGATCAAAGGACATCTTTCAGGAGTCAGCTCTCTTTTTCTACCTTGTGGATCCCAGGGATTGAACACAGGTGGTCAGGTTTAGTAACAAGTACCTTCACCCTCTGAGCCATCTTACTGCTCCTATTTTATTTTATTTTATTTTATTTTATTTTATTTTATCGCAGCAGGATAGACTCACGTTCAGTAGGAATGGTATGAAGTGCAGAGATCACGGGACAGCCATCAAACATTCTCGCCAGGACCAGGGTGATTTTTCAACATCACTTGACAAATTTGTTATTCAGTTTATAGAGGCTGAGCCCAAACTGAGATGAAAAAGTATGATATTTAATCAGTCTGAAAGCTTATCGATCATATCAAAGTAGATACATCTCTTCTTGTTTCCTTGGTGGATTTGGTGCATTTAAAATTGCTCTTATTTTATCTTTATATATATGGAGAGAGAGAGAGACAGAGACAGAGAGACAGAGACAGAGAGACAGAGAGAGAGGATTTATTCTATATCTTAAGGTACAATTTAAAACACGCTCCCCCAAATATGATTGGTCCTCCATAATAATATTTAGCTAAATCAAGTTATTAGATTCTACTCTCCACTGTCCAAAGTATTTACTTAGAGTCATAAGGAAATCCCAGTTGTCTAAAACCATAGGCTAGGCATGCACAAGCTAGCTCCTCTTGGGTTCTGTCGTCTTCTAAACAGATTCTCTGCTCATCTGTCCCTTCTGCAGGTAGTGTCTACTTTAGATTTATCATCAATCTGAAAAGTTCTGATGAAAGCCTGCTACCGACCTCCCCTGGGACCTGAGAAAAGGCTAATGTTTACACATAACTGAATATCAAGGCAGCAGGAAAATAAACCCCACGGTGCTATTCACCATGGCACTGAGGTTATTTCTCCCTTTGCCTTTTTGTGAGCATCTCTTTGTGGGGGTCTTTGAAGTAGTGAGGCAGTTAGGATGTCCGCTCAATTATGACAAATCCCCCATGGTTGTCATGTTGACCATCTGCCTGGGTGTATATTGTGTATATTGGCTTCCTTTCTGTTTCCCCTAGTCCTCTCAGAGGCAGCTGAGATATCCCAGCCTGGGTCTGACAGGACTGGTGAGCTGAGTCAAGAACATCTGAGATGGCAAGAAAAAACTCAGGGTGGAGGGATACATCTTTCCAGAGTTTAGCATGATGGTCTTCCTGTGGGCAGTTCAAATTACATCACTGACTAGGTTTGCCATGCACCATATGTGAGTTGTGGTCCACGTACTTCACTATTCTAGGTCTTCCATGTTCCATGGGGACAGGAACAATGATAACTACCACACCCGGTCACTGAGGGCTGAGTTAATCTGTGCACACCTAGGAGCTCAGAATGGATTGTAATTATTATAACTACTATGTAAGAGTGACAGTTCAAGTGGGGTCTGGCGGCCCAGGTCTTTAATCCCAGCACTTGTGCAGAAGATGCAGGCAGATTTCTGTGAGATGGAGGCCAGCCTGGTCTACATAGTGAGTTCCAGGCCAGCTGGGGCTACAGGGAGACTCTGTCTCAAAAGTGACAACAAAAAACCCAAACAACAAAAACACAACAATTGTTAAATATCTGAAAAACAGTCCTTCTAACAACCTTGCAAGGAGGATAGTCCTTTCTTATTTTATACATAAGGAAACCGAGATTCAGAAAAGCTCAGTAACTTGCACAGTCCAAACATTTTCCCATCTATCCAAGAACTGCCTCATTTGTCTGTACTGAAACAAAGACTTCTTTGACCCTGGCAGAGTGCCTGGCTGGGTGTGGCTTCAGACTTCTTCCCTCTCACTGTTTGAAAAATTCTAATGCCCTAAGTTCCTTGCCTGGAGTCCCTGAAATATTGATATGTTAAATACTTATGGTATAAGAGAAAGGAAAAGCTATTGTGGCAAACAAATTAATATCATCTTTTCACTGGAGACTCATCTGCTACCACAACTGAGCCAGGGAAGGCATGTAGCCACCCCGCTGTTGGGATTTTGAGTCATTATGGGCATTTTTGGGATTGTAATGTATGTGGTTTCTGCACCTTTGTCACGGGACTTGTGGCTTTTCTTCTGTCCATTAATAGCTGAAAGCATGCTCACTTTCCACACTCACACATCACCCTTGCCTCACCCTCTGACTAAATATCGAATTCATCAGTTCCTTTACTAATTCAACCCTATAGGGGTGAAGAATCTTGGGAACCCCGAGCGGCTGGCATGCCCCCAGATATTGCCCTTTCTTTTTATCCTGTCGATGTAAGTTATTAGCCAAAGGACTTCGGCCTGGGTTACACTTGAACCACAGTTCCAGCTTAATTTTTTAAAAGAGCCAATCTTTATTCTGGAAATGTCCTGGTTTGGACCATAAATCCAGTGGCTACACAGATATCCGTGTCCATGCATGTGGCGTCAATCGGTTGATTTCTTCAGCTAATCTGAGACAAGCAGGTGATTACCACTTTGCTGTTGTTTGTCTTCATAGTGCCTCCTAAGGAAACAGAGAAACAGATGATCTCACCAAGAGCACAGATCATGGGAGAAAAGCCCCAGACAGTTATTAGTCCCATGTGGAACATCATTTATCCCTGCGCAGTGCTAACACTCATGATGGCATCTTGTGCTCTATGGAGGGTGATTTGTGCTGCCCAGCACTGCCTCATGGGAGGATCCTACAGGGGAGGGGCCACCTCTCCAGACTCACAGGGGGCTGATTCTGAGAGGTTGCAACTTCTTATACTTTCAAGGTGGTCTTAATGTGTAGTGGGGGTATGGGGGAAGGAGATAGGAGAGCGATACAGAGTCTTCTAGATCTTGTGCTTGTCCAAGTCAGCTCCCCTCCCTTCCTTTCAGATCGTTATTTGTGAGCACATGTGTATTTAGGGGGATTATTTCTATAGTTATCTTATTTACCAAGAATTAAAAATAGTTTCCTCTCCTACCTTTGTAAAAGATTATGTGCCTGTATTTATTACTTTAGCTTGTTCATTCATTTAAGCAATCATTTTCACATTCTGTCTTGAATCATTTGCTAGGAAGCTGGATGGATGCTAGAAATTCCAACCCAGGGGCTAATGAAGAAATTCAAGAGGGGTGAAATAAAAATGTAATGTCTTGTGATATGTAGAATAACTATCATCTATTTATCATCTATCAATCATATATCTATCATCTACCTAACACCTATCATGTATCTTTCACTTGCCAATTTTTCAGTCATCTACCTGTCTATCATCTATGTGTTTGGTGTCCATTACCTGTCATCTCTCTAGCTGTCTGCTTATAAGATCTCTTTGAACATGGTAATGGTTGAATTTGTAGGTGAAAAAATGATGATCTTTGAGTCTGAGATTGTGACCTAAATTGATGCTGATGTTGAGCCTTGAACAGTTCTCCCTTGAGCTATATCCTCAGCCCCATAGCATCTGTTGAATTCAACTGTACACAGTTCAGGTGTGTCATTCCATTATCTGTATCTTTGGACATATCTTCACTTTAAAAAGTGTTTTTAAACAGGGTCTCATGTAGCCCAGGTTGGCTGTGAATTCACTATGTAGCCAAGTGTGGTTGATTTTCCTGCTTCAGTTTTCCAAGTACTGAATTAAAGGTGCATGCCTCCATACCCAACTTCATCTTGACTTTTGTAGCATGAATACAAAGATAATAAAAGCATCAAAGCAAATGCATTTAATTGTAAAATATTTTCCATGAGCAGAAACCATTAAAAGCATTGGACAATACTTTAAAACTGATAGATACTAAAACCATAGATTTATCTATAATTATTAGTATTTAGTTAAAATAGGGCTCTGGGGCCCTGGCTCCCACCGCGCCGGCACGGCATGACAACCAGGAAGGCAGGCTCATGGCTGGAGATGGAGATGGAGATTGAGTGCCTCCCCAAGTGCCAGTGGGAGTGGACTCTGGAGCTCTTCAAGCATCTGTCGACGTGAGTGAACTTCTCCTTGGGGAGTCGAAGCTAGAGCAG